ATGCTTTCACATGGCCTCGCGTATATAGCCTATGCCAGGGAAGTCCTACTCTCTGCCTTCTCGTTGCATTACTGTTGTTTACGAAATTGAGAAGACGAAAAGAGAATATCCGGCGCTTTAACCGGGTTGGTGAACACGGAGAGTCAACCTAGGGGAGTCGGAAAACCCTGATTCCAAACCACTGGTGCACATGGGCTCCAGTATCCTGAAGGGACAAATGGCGTACGAACCAATCGTTGGTCACCGGCTACCATGGAACTGCATCTCCTTACGATGCTCCACTGCTTTGTGGATCAGACCTTCACGTCGAAGGCGCCGGGTATGGCCACCTAAGAAATTCACCTGTTTCGGTTTGGGCACCCGGGCAGTATCACAGCCCTCACACATATCAAATAAGATTTGTGTGGCGCATATGTATTTGGCGCCTCTTGTACCAGAAGCTATGTATTAAAATAAATTAAACAAATAATAAATCTTGAAAATCTCCAAACCACAACCATCTAATATACCGTCTTCATAAATGTTTCAGTAAAAAACCCTTACTGAACAACAAACAAAAAAGTCGTAATTTAATACTTCAATCTGATTGATATTTGTCATAAAAACATTGCATTATAAGTAGTAAGTAGTAGGTTAATTCACAGCCCTAGTAAAAATGTTTATCTGGACATTTTACAAATAGATGAAACATAAGCGTAAGAGCAAAATAATAAACAAAAATAGTAATAACTTATTTTTGAGAAGCCGATGGATTTCTGATTTAAAGATATATATTCACGGTTGTGTAACCTTATATAATGTCCCGGTCTAATTCCAGCTACTGATAGGAAAAATAATTAGAGCGAAAAATATGTCTACTTAATCACTGAAAATATACTATACACTTGTCACATTCAAGCTCATTTACGTCGATCTATACTTTAAAATGAAGTCAGTTACTGGATTTTATTATCTAGCGTTATTCTTTAACCGAACGGAATTGACAGATTTTCGTAAGAATATGGCATTTCAGTACAGCAGCTCCATAATTAGATACTTTACTTCTGATGTGAACAAGTCATGAGATGTGACTCGATATCATTTTGAAGAGCTCGTATGTCAATAGTAATCGATCAACCAGATCCATAAAACAGGATTATATTACGGGAAAATGAACCTATACATTCCGTGTAAGATAATGGATCGAAAATTTCACGCTGAAACGTATGTATATCATACCCCATTACCACAGAGATGAAGTTGTCACATCAAATCCAAAAATAGTAGAGGTAGCAACGCTATCAGCGGTAATAGGAAACAGGCATCGAAGACACGATTCGAGCAGACAATACGATCAGTAAAATAAAAGCAAAAAATGTCATGAGGAATCTAAGAATCTCGTGGGAAGACAAAGAACGGATGCACCTACGCCATTGCGAGCGATTTCGAGGCACGTTATTTAAAGTCTCCAACGATTAATAACTATAATTAGGCGGAACCCAACCAGCTAGTCGACATATGGCTCGTTTTAATTGTATGTGATGTCATGAGCTTTGCCATGTTTTGGCTTAGCCACCCCTAACGGACAACCGCCGTCACATCCCTAACAACATCCGGGAGTATCTTGCTGACGATCAAATCCCTCCATCGCTTATTAATACATGTCATGTATGCACATATACAACAGGTGATATACGAACCGGTTACTACTGGATGTGACTTCAGACAGAAACAAAACAATTTTGATGGATACAGGTACATCTATTAAACAAAGCCCCAAATAGTACGACATTTGAATCCCGGATCTCACACAGACAATAAGACAAGATTACGAAATGAAAGCAGTTAATTTAGAATTAAACCAAGATTTTTAAACAGTAGGAAAAGTCTAGGTGACACTTTCGCTGAAGAATAATTACTATATTTTTGATAAGCAATTCAAACTAAATAACTGAAAACCTACTTACTAAATAAACAACATATATTCAGCAAATGTTATTTTATGACTTCAAATTTTATTTGATTACTATGCCTCACAATCACCGATATGGAATATGAGCCTTGAGTCAGACAGGCACCTTAGAAAATATATTTAAACAAATAAAATCCAAACACAGGATTTTCAATGAATAATCGAGTCGTTTTATGTAAAACACAATCGTCTTAGATGTCCAAACAATTGGATTAATACTTTGGGAACTCTTATTGAATTACTGATGCACTCTACGATAAAAAGTCATTAGCCTCCTGACGACTACGTCATGTAGTCCCAAAAGTAATTACTGCAAGGATTGCTGACACTCAGTGGTAACACCATGTTAGTAACGCAGTGGTTCAGCATCGTATGTTCGGGCACAGCTACGATAATTCAATTCAGTCAGTCACCTGCAACTTAATAACAGGTACATATATGCATCGGTTTAGGTTGCCACAACTCATTAACACAACAAGATGAACATCAAATTCATCGAAGTAGTTACTTCAATGGTAATAATACATAAAAGAAAGATTGCGTATGAGGATATAGTACAGGAAGAAAGAATTAGTTCGTAGAAAGAAAAATATAAAGCAATTTTTATCTCACGGTTTAAGGGAAGACAGAGAGTGTATACACCTACTCCACTATGATCGATTCTGAGCCATGTCACCCACAGTCTACAACCATTGGTTACGATAGTCGCACGGACCCCAACCAAGTAGTCTGCATCTATCAACATTGCTAGGACTAGAAGTTAGTGACTTCAAAGACTGATGCCACGTTTTAGTTTGGCCGCCCCTAACTTTCTTTCAACCATCACCAACACTAGTCAGCAGCATTGCGCGTTGTGGTAGTCAGTATTCAGGCATACGTAACACGTGGCCCAACCATCTCAGTCGGTGAAGATCCACAACCTCATCAACTGATTTACCATCATTCCCTAATACCCTATGTCCAACCTCACTATTATTTAGCCGGTGATCCCAGCAGATGCGAGCAATATTTTTAAGGCATCTGTGATCAAATACTAGTAGCTTACAAATATCTTATAATCTTAATGGCCACGTTGCGCAGTCGTAAAGTAGAACATAACGAACTGTTGGGCAGTATACTCGTCCCTTAATTGATATACGGATATCTCACCTTCACCATAGGCGACGTAAGTTGGCAAAAGCCAAACGAGCTTCCTGAATCCGTGCTGAGATTTCACCGGACACCAACTAAATGAGCAAGTTTAGAGTTGAAAGTTGACATAGGAGGAATGATAGGAATCGAAGAGAGATATTGATTATGAATACAGTGATCTTGGGCGCTAGCCCATAACGTGAAAGGGTTCTTCTAGAGGTACCTGAAAAGGAAATTAGTTTAAGGGTGGTCTTAGCATTCCGGCTCAGCGAACAGATAATGGTGATCGTTTGCTGCAACTGTGCTCAGACAATCGTTTATTTCTAGCAAACACCAATTTTAAACATAAGGAGACATCATCTTATACGGCGACCCCCTGCACCAAACCAACGATGGATTCAAATAGACCATATTGCCAAAAGATATACAAACAGCAGTGACATCTGTTAGTGATTTGAATCGAAGTTACAAAAAACCAATGGATTTCTTCTAGGTCTATTGCACTGATGGATTCTCGTAAACTCATCCCATCAGGCTGTTAACACGATGATGAGCGAAAGCAAACCCGATCTAGGTTAAGCAAAAGTCTTAGGAACGACCGTGGGCAGTGGTGGGCAACGAAAGCAAAAGAGATAGAAAAGGCGGCTGCTGTAGGTAACACAAGACAACCCTTCAGACTCATAAAGGAAACTGGAACTAAAAAATCAAGTATGAGTGAGACTATCGGAATAAGACAACACTTTCATCTGCTTCCAACCTAGACGTTTAAAACATTGGGAAGATCACTTTAAGGAGCAGTTCAGCTGGCCTTCAGCAACTCTACAACTACCCACCATTTCCAGACAGCGTGAATAGAGTATTGAAGTAGGTCCCCCGACTCAAGCTGAAGTTCAAAAGGCTATAGCTAATCTGAAAAGAGGAAGAGCAGCTGGTCCAGATGCATTGGCTTTAAAGGTATTTAAGTATGGTGGTCTAATTCTAGAGATTACGTTGACTAATATTTTAGCTAAAATCTGAGAGTTGGACGTAATCCCACCTTACTGGTCACAATCACTGATTTTCGCAATATATAAGGGTCAAATTCATCCTGCGATAACCATAAAGGGATTAATTTGATCGATCACAACAACGTAGGCGTATACATCCTTTGTCCTCCCTTAAAGCGCGAGATTAAAATTTCCATACCTTTCTTCTCATGAACTAATTCTTTCTCCCTGTATTATATCCTATTACGCAATCTCTCTTTTATACATTTCTATCATTGAAGTAACTACTTCGATGAATTTGGTGTTCAACTTGTTTTGCTAATGAGGTGTGGCATATATGTGCCTAGCCCTAAGTTGTAGCTGACTGACTGGTGTTATTTATGCACTATATATATTTCTATACGTTTAGTGACTAGTCGTAAATAACTTTATATAGTGGTCCGTTTCCGTTTATTTAGAATTATCCGTCATCACATTATAGCTTCAGAAAAACTTATCTGTATTAATAAGTACGAGGACCTAACTGTAACTAATACCATAAAACACCAAATAGATTATTACACCCAATTATAGCTAAGTAACGAGAAAAACCTGGAAAATAAGATCAGGTATACTAAACATTCTGAATATTAGTTGTCAGGAGTACACGTAATTTCCCCTACAATACCATTACCTCCCTAACAAAAATAAAACCAGGTAATCAAAAGTCCAACTAGTCCCTTTGATAAATTTATATAATGTAATAAAATACCAAGACTATCAGAACTATGATATATAAGCCCAACGAATTTCGAACTATCTGATCATATTTACCTGTTGAAGCATTTATGCATAAAAAAGAGGTCAACTGCGCAAATTGATCGGTGTGAAAAACTTAGCGAAACATACAACTGAATAGTAAATCAATAAAATCAAGGTACGTATCAATCTTTTCAACACTATGGTGGTTTGAAATTTCGTACGACTAGGGCTTTAACACGCCTAAGTATTCGATTTGGACAACTTTTTAAGAAAACATAAAGGCTGAGTTAAGATCAATGTAGTGGTAATTTGGAGCTCTTATGACAACACATTGAAATGCCGAGTAACATATTCCTGTGACAAGCATTCAGCCACAGCTTCTTTACTAAATAGAGTTGTTCCGTCATCATCATCTCAGTCAGGCAGAACTAACGATGTAAATAAATAAAATGAACCATCGAGCCAACAATTTCGCTGAATTAGCTTATGCAGGTTATTAATCACCCTATAAGTCAGGATCACTGCAACTACTTTCGTCTGTTTTCAAAACAATACCCTTTCGTTTGATAAAGCAAAACAATTTTCCCTAAATGTGATCTGCGAATGATTTCGAAGTCACTAATACGATAAGTTATTGCTAACAAAGTGAACAGGAAATGATACAGTTTTAGACAACTTAATAGGTCGAATATGAATGCAACGATAACCTTCGCAATATCCCCTTATATATGATATCACTGGAGAGTTGAATTATTATGAATAACACGTTAAACAGACAAGTCTAACACTACAAAGAATTACATCAAATGGTTTTATATGTACTTCAACGTACAAAATGGGAAATATTAACAGTGATTTATTAGGACCTAAAGTAAATCCGTTAATTCGCAACCTGGACGAGCGTTATTGTCTCTCCTTTTAAGAGGATCCTTCCTGCAAGGAAACAACTCGAAATGAAATTACAATACTAACCCAAAGGTTTTTTAGCTCCTGACTTCATATGCCTTTCACAAGCATCAGCCAACACCAGGTTCATGTACTCGTCAAAACCCTGTGTACAGTGGTGAGCAACAAATTACTGACGTACAATTATCACTCCTTCAATTCGTAAGTTACACTGTTCATACAGCCATACCCTCACACGTGCTTTCTAGGAAGAAGTATTACATAGACAGTCGTTTCAACAAAATACCTTCTGCAAGAAATTATAAACAACACCCTGCAGTTACCAATAAGCATATAACAAAGGAACTTACAATAGGAGGTTGGATAGCTTTGTAAGATCTACCACCTTCTCTGTGCATCGTGCTCGAAAATTCAGTCTAAGCGCTTGAGCTAAAAACAAATTCTCCGTTATTATCCTCTACGTTCCAATGTCCAATCTATTCAACGACAAACTTTGAGATAAGTAAAGAGACTCGAAAGTTATTTGGCTCACGGTTAAGCGGCGATTCATGTTTTTTTCACTGGAGGTTCTTAGTAGAGTTTGTGGGTTGTAGACAGTAAGGTCTTAGGTTATACACTGTTAAAGTATTGATTGATATCTAAATCTTTCTGGATACTATTAAAAAAACCCAGGACAGTCCAAACATCGTTGTCAAGAGCTTGTATAAACCGACTGATTGTTGTTTCGGCACGGTTCTAGGTATCTGGTAATGTCCAGTGGGTGGTAACATATCCACTTACTTACGCTTGTCACTCTTCATGGAGGAATTTAGGCCGTCCACCATCATTCTCTATCCAACCCTGTCCTAGCCAATCCTTTCTAGTTGTTTCCAGTTGCTATTCATCCTTTTCTTGTCTGCTTCCAATTGCCGACACAGTGCGCTGTTTGGCCTTCCTCTTTACCGTTTCCCTTCAGGATTTCAAGTTAGCGCTCGCCTCGTGATGCAATTTGCTGATTTCCTCAATGTATGTGCTATCCACTTCCAGTGTCTTTTCCCAACCTTTTCTTCAGCTGTAAGTTAGTTTGTTCTCTCCCACAGTAGGTTGTTGCTGATGGTATCTAGCTAACGGACATTCAGTATCTTATGTAGACAATTGTTTAGAATTACTTGTACATTTTTGATGATGGTTGTTGTAGTTCTCCAAGTTTCGGCTCCATATAGTTGGACTGTCTTGACGTTCGTATTGAAGATTGTGACTTTGGTATTGATTGATAGTTGTTTTGAGTTCCATATGTTCTTCAACTGTAGGAATGATGTCCTTGTTTTGACAATCCTTGCGTTCACGTCTGGAACGAGTGAGAGGGCAAACACAAATGTTAGTGAGGGTGATACGAAGTAGTTACTGACATATGGTAATGAGAACCATACTACATTATGAGACATACAATAATGAAAATAATGCCGGGTGTTGTGGCTTTTCGTCGTTAGACCTGACTTTCATATCAATCATCCATTTGGGTGTCCATCTCTGTACTTAGTTTAACAAGTTTTCATCTGTTCTGAAGTGAGGGAGAGCGAAGTTGCTATAGACGTCATGATTATGCCGTGCATACGTTTTGAAGAAAGTTAGAAACAACTTTCTGGTGATTACACCAAGTTATCTCCTCACAAAGTGCAGTTCGAGTTGACGTCTTTGCTCCCTGTGGTCACTAGTCTGAGATAACTCTCCGAGGAGGCGATCAGAAGTGAATATTCCCGAAGAGTGTAAGTGGTCTGTATCTAAATCTACAGAATATTTATGACAAGACATTTCGACAAAATATTTTTAAACCTTTTGCATACTGCTCATGTCTCTGTTAATGTGGTTTCCTTTTGAAGATTAAGTGAACCATTTTCACTCTTATGGACTTCTAGATTTCAGCGTTGCCTGTAAAGATTAGTGCTCGCGAGCTAATTTTACCACAAGTCGTTAATAAAGATCACGAAATGAGTGAAACTTAAATCGTTCCTAGCGAAAATCCTGACGTTGAGCTCTTACAACTCACGGGCACTCTATTTACATCGATACGAAACATCTTATCCTTTAGGTAGTTTTGCAACCAACATAAAAGTAGGGCAGGGAAACTCGTCTTTCCACCCTTTGGTGTGAGGAGTACATGCATTACTGTGCCAATGGCTTTCACTAAATCGAGCAATATTACATCAACTGGTATACTATGGTCCCAGTAGGTTGTCCAGTTTTCCAAAGCTAAACACTGCTGAACTTGCCGAAGTATGTCATTTTTACCCGTTTATTCTCTAATTCTTCAATTTAGTAGTCCTTCCATCACCTTTGACGGCACTGGGAGTACTGCAACTGGTCTGTAACAGGCTGGATCTTTTCTATCCGAATTTTCAAAAATTGGAGATAGGTTAGCCCGCTTCCGTTTCCTTGGAAGTTGGTGTGAATCTAGTGACGCCTGGACAGGCCTCACAGCAGTGTGCCAGTAGCCTCTGTGCACTGTTTCAAGGTTGTATCTCGAATGCTGTCACAACCTGACGGTTTTCCTTGGCGCAAGACTTCTAGTTTTACGACTAATAACCCAGAAGTTAGTTAGAGATCGCTCAGACCCTCAACTGATGGTTTGTCTGTTTAGCAGTACAAATCCCCTGGTTCGTAGGTTTACTCTTATTCGTGAATTTGTAGAAATATTTGGGGTTTGTTTTCGGTTTGGCTGCTAGTTTGGAATGAAAACATCTCCGATTTCCTAGAACTTTGGCATGGCATCTGTTTCTCAATATTATGTAAGAGTTACGTACAGAGTCCTTCAATTAGACTTTTCAGTCGTGCCAAGTTCTTCGTTTGGCCTGTAGCAAGCGTTACGTGCGTCGCCTAACCCGAGCTCTTTGCTTTCCGCTTGTGTCATTACCCTGAGTTTCATTGTGTTCGACAGGATTCCGAGTGACGTTTCTCACTATCTCCCACTGGATGCATAATGTAAGCCTCCAACACACTCGTAGTCAGGGTTAGTATTGAACAAGCTCACACATCGCCGTGTAGTCTGCTTCAATGTAGCTAGAGTAAAGAACATTGTGGTCCCCCCGAAGTATCTCGTTTGTGACAATGTCAAACATGACCGTATCATGATCGCTACTGTATTATGTGCATGGACATGGAAACCGTCAAATAGAAGCTGATTGTTTGTCGATAAACAACGTAGCTTTGAGGGTATTTTGTCCAGGTTCGATCTCGTGGCATCATCCACATGTTCAGTTAGTCCTGAACTTATAATGGCTGTTCGCAAGACGTTTATGGAACTACATTGTAGGGGATGTAGCTCTTGCTAAGATTTAAGGATGAAGTATCTAAATCTACGGCTTGTAATATCCGGTCAAGTTCCGGGTATGATAGACCAAGTATCGCCTGTACTATTTCATAGTTTTGGCTGTTTGAACCTGCACGAAGTCGATATATTCCTCTACCCAGTTGCTTCGTGACGTTCATAGCGGAGGAATACCACCGCGATTCTGTCTTCTTGGTTAAGTCGATGCTGTGTGATGATGCGGTTTTGAAGCGAATGTTAATGTATAGCGTCATCCCACTCCCTGTTTCGTGCACTATATTTTATCTAAAAAATGGTATACCTCTTAGACCCACCCTTCCATTCATGATGCTCAATGTTAGACATGTTTCAGTTAGGACCATTATCTTCAAATTTAACAGAAAGCACATGTTTCTAATTTTCCCTAGTTTACTCCTCAGTTGTATTACATTTTTACAGAGGCACTTGATGGTTTGTTTCATATTACGTTAATCCTCTACAGCTGCCACTTTCTTCTGGGTTTTCAGCAGGTGACTTCCTAAAGTGTAATGGCTAGTTCCGTGAGGACTGTCCGCTGTAGTTTTTTTGCCTGTACAACGTTTCTCACTGTCGGAGTTATTATCTATCTGTTCTTAGGCGTGAGTTGATAATCAGTGTCAAATGGCACCACGATGTCTCATTGTGCGCTTTTATCGAAGGTTGACCTACATTTTAATAAGCTACTCGTCGTCATTGGAACACCAAATAAAATCATGGAGTTTTGTCTGACATTACTCCCCCGTCTTTAGTCTTTTACGATCTAGATTTTTATCATTAGCCTTCCCAATGCCCACACTGTTGTTTACAGATGCTAAAGTGTTAGCGACAGTGAGTAATTTCGCTGGCGTATGGGTCCGGGTCGGGCCAACGATAGTCATATGTTTGGCTTGGTTCGTGTCTTTCTATCTGGATATGCTAATGGGTATTGATGCGGTTGCTTTCAGTGTGACCTATGTTTCTCTTTTGATACGCCTGTTGCTGTGTTTATTCTGAAATGTGATCAGCGATACCAGAATCACGGATTGAACGACATAACATAAACCTATAGTACTGTCTAGGCACTGCAGCATCATAAAGACAGTGAACATATGAACAAACTGAAACACTTGTTACGATTCTGAAGATAACCAAGACGTTTTGCCCCACAAACATGTACGGATTGAAATAATCACACTCACCCTTATTGCTTGCTGGTCAATAACTCCAGCCCCTTCTCTTTTGTTACGCTCTTTTAAGTTGTTGAATGAAATGCAATTATATCTTACTTACAGGCTCTGCTTTCCACATCCTGTGAGAAAACACTTATTCCTCCAGCACAGTGAGCAAGCATGTCGGACAGTTAAAGCTGATAGGCCAATTATCGAGCATAGAACGGTAATGCACAGTAGCATGAAATAGAGCTTGGAGTTAGACAGAATAGTTATGAATTCTAATAATTTTAAGGCCATATGCACGGATTTGAAATTAGGCGGTTGAACAGCAGCATGCGCGGTAATAGTTGAAAACTAATAGTGTAAGAATGGGCTCACATTGTTATCGTTGGTGATGCTTTTTAGAGAAAGTTTCTGAGTATTTCTGATTTCTAACCTGATTAGTCCCTAGTTGCATTAAGTTTTATCGAGTCGCGGTCCAAATTATTTCTAAGAACTAATGTGTGCAATATAATCAATAATCGTAGAGATCAAAAGAAAACATAGGAAACGGTTATTCAACAGTTAAAATAAAGAATTATATGTTAAATTTGTGTTTGACCTAATCTCAGCGATTGAAATTTGAATAATCCCAACGCTTCTTTCAGCAAACTTGTCTGAACTTCTTTAGGGTAGTAATCAAAATCATCAAAGAAATATATAGCGTTTAACAATCGAATCGAATTAAATCTATACGGTGCTAATCCAGTCACATTTGGATGTTGACTTAGGTAAATGGGATAATATTAATAAATTAAATGCAAATTATATTAAAAGTTTACGATGTAAAAACAAATGACTGAATTAATTGATTGAAGTGTTCAAGTGACTTGGGACCTTGCGCAAAATATCGTGCAGATTTTGTGTTTTGATATAATGTATGTTGGGGAGAAAATCTCTTAGAACAAGAACCTTGTTCGTTCGATTCCAATGTGCAATACGGTGGATTACGATGATTATTGCGAACTGGATACTGAAGGCACTAGTAGCAGTAGCTGCAACATTTGCCGATGTTACTTAAGTTACTTAAGTTTTGCCAATTCAGTGGTATGAATACTGTCGAAGTATATATGCAATGAAAGTGACAAGCTTGCATCAGAATCTGAAAAATCGTAGAAATCGATGAAACGGTTATCAGAAGACGAAATTTCAGTAGAGGAAGAAGTGTCAAAGAAGAATGAGTAAGCAAAACCTCCTTAAATATACTTAGCAGGCCTTTGTTATATGATCAATAACCTCCGAAGGGACACTTCCGACACGTTACAACTTGACAAACTACAACTGCCATACCGATTATACGATACTAAGTGCTGCCGAGTACCACACCACATAGGTAACTGGAGAGAATGTCGGCCACTATTTAGGTTTGGTTACGTGCATCGTATCGTCGTTTACAAGCCGCATTTGGTAGGCCACATCACGGGAGCACATGCCAATAATATAGAAGCAATGTGATGATGGCTAAAAAAACTGTTATCAAATATCAAGTCAATACATGAAAATCCTGATAACTTTGTGGATTTTGAACAAACTGCTGATGATAATCCGTTGAATATGAGTGCTTCAGGGAGGGAGCTGCTCTAGACTCGATGCTTTTATGTGCAATAAATCAATTATTCATACTCATACACGTAGGTTGATGGTGTATACAAGTCTGCTGCAGGTATCGAGCCTGGTGTAGGTTTGAAAACGAATAATTTGAAACAGTGAAATTGATTGGGCTTATGTACCGTAAATATAGGTGAAATGGTGTTGTATAGTGCTTCTAGTTAAATAACTTTTTAAAAGCCGATAAACGATGAGTGCGACTCATGTGATTATTAATGAAAGTATAAGTTATAATCAAGGAGAATACAACTCCCATCTCATGCTTGTGATGATAAAATGAACCTTTGTCAGTGTTGGGATAAATTTGACAGTGATGTTTTCAGTTTGCAGATGGTTCACGTCGCTGAGTATACCAACGATTCTCATGAGTGATTGTATTGCTAAACCTCTTATCAGGCTAAAACGCTTCAAAGTTGTTTACCAAAGAATCAGCCGGCGGAAACACTTACTGAAATCATCTGTGTTATATAAAGATGACCACGAGAAAACTACTTAATGAAAACTGTCCGTCAATTTGACGAAGGATATTCTTATTGACAGCTTTGTCATATACCTGTCATTTTACTTGATTGTTAAGCTGTAACAATACTTAATGACGATCTTGAGAAACCATTATTAATTACTGTTTATGGTGTTGATTGGGCATTAGCTAGTCGGAAATGTTTATTGGTTGTTTAGGTGTTTAATAATTTTACTTTTCAAAATGTATATCGACGTTAGGGGATTTTTAAAATATCTGAATTTCGCGGCATGAGCTGATCCGGGATACCTGGTTATATTACAAATTGTAATCCAGAAATATGTGTTCCCATGGTGTTAATTTTAGTAATAGGCTTCAGAGTTTTTATTTTGAATGCTCTCTTGACTAACAAGTACGTGGTAGTTTAGTTATTATACCAGTGCGGAACTATAATATAATAATGCTGTGACTTTATTATTTTAAATATGTTACACGCCTTTTTAGGCAATTAATATGACAGCCCAATTTATAAACTCGAATATGCATGCCAATAACGACTATGATGGGTTTGGTGGAAAATGTTTAGGCAGATCCAAATAATTGTTGGATTCAAATGGCATAAATATCATACAATGTCACGCATTTGTAAGCTAGTCTAAGAAGTAAATTGATAAGGGGATGTACCAATGTACATAATACGAATCGGTGGAAAAATATTTTGAAGTTCAGACATGAGTTATGGCATCGCAACTAAGAACAAGACGGGAATAATATAGACTTCATAAGAGTTCTCTTTAGTCAGCCTAGTAGCATTCTTAAATATGTAGTGACGATTATCAGATTAATGTTGGGTCTAATACGGTTCTCTTATAAATGACAGACTTCGCAATTGTAGTATGTTGTCATTTGAAGCTAATAGATATGTCTTAGTTCAAAAAACGGTTTTACGAGTGGTTCATATGAACTACATATACGTGGAGTCCAAGTGACAATATATATGTTAGGAAGTACCAAAAACATGGAGAATCATCTGGCGAAATGGAGAAACTCGTCTTCATTATTTCCGGAATTTAGATTATCCAACAGGTATTACGAATATGAATCCAGCTGTGACAAAAGTGCAGATCAACAAGTAACCGGAGTAAACAGACGATGCTGCAACTGACTACAGGGTGTGTGGTGCTGTTGACACTGTCAGTCGATTGATCCAGTACAAATCCGAAAATAACCCAGTTAAATACTCGGCTTTTACCGTTTGAATAATTTGAAACAAACTTAAGATTTCAGAAACTTTATGGCCTAAACACTTCCTTAGTTTCTGCAGTATTCTCATCATTGTTTGGCAATAGAACTCAAAAGCAGGAAACTAGGCAGACGTCGATTAAGAATCATATATAGCTAATGCCTGATATTTAATAAACCCATTTCATCGAAAAATGTAAATGTTACTAAAGGCTGTTAATGAACTTGTTGACGACCCAGATGCTCTTGTTACTTTGTACTCTTAGACGCTACTTCACTCAATAAGTTCCCAGACCAGAACACAGTTGAACAAGAGTGAAATTATATGCTAAACAAACAAGGTTGAACAGGAGACGGAATCATAATAGGAATAAAGGTTGACATATTTATAGCTTTTATACAATAAGATTTTAGAGTCTTTTGTGAGTATCCGCTAGCGCTGATTGGTTAAGAAAAAACAATCCATAGCGCCACAACACATTCCTGCACGGAACATGCCTTAATACAAACTTTATCCCTCTTTATACCGATCTATGTTCAAAGTCAGAATTTCACGGGTATACAACGCGTGAAAAAGCTGTTGTTCGCAACAAGTTAATGACTGGGAATCAAAAACACAGTCATGCTAGAGGTTAGGAATGAATATATTTTCGGAAGATAATCAATATGTTGAGATGCGTAACACGGCGTACCCAATAGTGACCTGGTTCGGAAACGCATCTGAGAGTTTTTAGCTAGGGTGCATCCAGTAAAAATAATGAGGTCGGAGTCAGTCTAGAAGAATTTAAGAATTCGTTAATCACTACAAACCTTTTTCCTCTTAATGGGTTGGTGGGAACCCTAAGGCGTAACCAGCCAGAAAATTACACCAAACCAACATGTCGTCGGTAAACATTTTTCTGATAACTTGGTAGCATCTGATCGTTTTTCTACTACTTACAGAAACCATGGGTTACATAATAATAATTTGTGGTGAGAGGTTCAGTTAATCGTATTCGTCTCCAGTTTTTCGTCCTTTACAGTCGTCCTGGGAAAGAAATAAATGAAAGTGTAGGTGAACATCAAAATAAACTCAAACTTACGTAAGCCACCAAAACATGCATTAAAAACCGGTATAAATGCATATTTACACCATGCGACAAATAAAAGAATTTCACACGAAAATGTTTCTTTTGAGGGATTCTTCGCAAAAGTGGTTTGCACATACATATAAGCACGTTAAAATTACGTTGATTTTTTTACAAGATGTATAGTTGTTCTGGGAGCGCCATGGTTCTTCTAGTGCACATAGATTAATGCTGATTATCTGATACCAGCGAAGTTTCTTCGCGGCTGTTTACTATCGGTATTACATCTTGATAGTGTGGATTGCGTCGTCCAATTTTTTAGTAGGAACTTTGAGACAGGAGTTTCCTCGGAAGAAATCGGCTTTTAGCCGGTCGATGCTGATGTCACCGTTAATACAGTTCCAGTTAGTTGTATAGAACTTTTTGTCCCGAAATACGGAAATGTTAGGCGACATTTTTCCGAATTCCAGTGGAGTAATATGACATATTTTCTTTGTGGTCTTTATTTTTCGATCATGTTGACGGAGCGTTATTCAGGCCTGTCGCCGACAGAAAACCTGGACAGCAGCGACATGTATTACGGAAATACACAGGGTATCTCCAACAAAGTGAGTAATAGGATTAGGAGAAAAATTTCAAGAACGTTGAATTGCCTACCAATTTCGTTCTGAGGAAAGAATTCCTCCTGTAGTTCGCATCCTAATGATTAAGCTTAGGCAAACGGCACGTCAAGGGGTAATCAATCGATTGAGAACTACCATATTACTGAGTATCAGCTTTGTCGTGAACGCCCTTCTCGATTATGTGACGCAGCCCAAGTGAACAAGTTTATAAGGAGATTTGACGACCATGATTAACTAAGGGTTTACTGTCTTCCGACTGAAACACCGGCCAATTGTGTTCAATAAAAGGCAGATGTGTTTATTCACGTACATGTCTTGCTTAATCCTTGTATCTCAACTTATGCATTATTATTGGTGTGATTTATTACTAATATTTCTAAATATCTGCCTTGCTTTTTTGAGTTATTTCTTTCTGTGCATATATTTTAGTCATACACTTTATTTTAGCAATTCGTTTATTTTCGTGAATGAAAGTTTTCTCCTGACCTTTATCCTCTCTTCACTCATCTGCATTCTAATATTGCAATTTTCATACAAATCAATTTTTTTCCTCTCCGGTGAAATCGTAGCTGCTAGTGACAATAATCATAGTGCCCTGCAAAACGCAGTCATTGAAAACCTGAATATTCTTACTTTCAAGTAACTGTTCAAACCCCTGGGACTAATAAAGATGAATAGCTAGAATACTTTCACCGAATTATAATAACGACATGGAATCATATAGTAGCACAAAGACACTAGATATAAGAAATTAGATTATATTCTCTGGCATATCACAAAGAAGTGGGATATCACCATGTTATTTGGTACTGTGTCAAATGTCCAATTAAGCCGGGACAATCTTGTTTCTACTGCACACGTTTTGTACTCGTAATCAAATAATGGGCGGTTCAGCAAGCTCTCCGATCCCTGGAGGTGGGACGTCTGGGTACCACATTCTGCGAGTAAGTGCATTTCTGAACTTTTTGTGCTTGTCCAACCACATTATAAGTCAGGATTTGTGAAACCAAGTGTTAAGATCCTCTTATACGAACCTCACATTTTTGCCGGATGTTCTAAGATTGCTAAAGGTGCTTGTCTGAATTCCACTTGTTTCAAAGCTTGGTAGTTACTAGAATAATTTGCACTAGGCCGAAATATAGCTATTCTACCCATATCTCCGAAACCACATACAGGTGCAGATATATATTTAAGTAAACAGTAACTATAGATTTAGTTTCATCAGTCACCAGCGTAGATTTTAGTCAAAATTAGGTAGTCAGTTTATTACGGAAAGCTAAAAATTTGTTAGATTTATGCATGTCAACTGATCCGTGATTCTTTGAGTTGTATGTCACGTCCGTTCTCTCGTTCAAAAAGAATACTGTACACATGTATACGTGTCAAATTTGCAGTATACTATCTGATTATCCACGTGTTTTATTTGAGCCATGTTCGGCTGTGTTAATTCAAGTTTCATAGTCCGACTGGTAACCTTATCTCATGCTCTCTGCACATTAAGAGAGGCAGAATAATTCCTTTCACAAATTCCGAAACCCTAATAGCCCGAAAAGCAGCAGCAATTGCGAAGCGGATTATTTCATCTTCTAATCCTTTTGGGGCTAATTAAGGGACGGCTCATATATTATGTTATAATAGTCTCCCGCGTAGCTGACATAAAAATGCTCAACCTATCTGGTTGAGTACGAAAAATCAGAAGGGGTTATAAAATGCATTTGAAATTGCGTGCTTATCCATCTCGGCTCAAATCAACGGAGAGTTTTCGAAGATTTTTAATGCGAAACGATAGTTTCAGTTCACTTTAGAGGGTCTTGTGTGGTTAGGTATTTAGGTTCGGGTTAGAACTTTTGTTTTAGATCTGAAAATCGACTCACTGAAGGTGCAACACTATAGATGTTTAATCCTTATTCATGTAAGTATCACAGTTTATCTCCAAATTGCATCTAAATAGTGTGGCGACTTCGATTGGCATAAACATCTATTCCAAACCCTACATTGCTTTCAGTTTGCCGTGTGGTTTTCGCTTTCAAATAATTTCTACCTACTCTGGGTTGGGAGGTCATATAGTATTAGTATCACTCACGGAACTGGCGTAATTCAGTATATGGACCTGAGTCATTTTAAATAACGGAAACGTATGTAAGCGGTTTGACAAGTTTAGTTATCCTTTTTTAGTTTGATAGTGCCTAGAATTTTTCAGGGATATGGCTGTGTTGTTTCTCTTACTATTTATTTACGAAAATATGGAAAAATGAAACTCCAGATGTTTCACACATAAGCTTGTTTTTTAGCAAAGTTAAATTCGTTTGATTGTATTTATGACACCATCAAAATGCACATTGATTTTACAGGAATGGGGAAGGTCTTTGATCGCACTTATTCTTAGTATGGAGATGTTGGAATTGATCTTAAGCATTGCTTACCTAGGTAGTCATGTTAGTGGTTTCTCATGTGTTACAGAAAAACTAAATCTGTGTATGCCAATAGTTAGAGCAGTTTATGGTAATATGAACAATCTTTGTCTTACATTAGAAAAATACTAGACTCGTTACAATTAAGTGCGGGCATGTTTGGTCTATGCAAATAAACCTAAGAATATCTAAACTGTGTATGTTGCAAGGTCTCTTATTCTGTGGTGCTTGCCTATAAATTATTACTTACACTCTCTGGTAGCATTGTGTAAGGTCTGGTAGCGCGTGCTTGAGTTTGATGGATATCACCACTTAACATATGTTCCAGTTTTAAATCACTGCTGTGGCGATCTTGACGTCTTTTACGCATGTTGTCACAAGAATCTCTACACTGAGCATGATCGGTAATCCTGGTTTCTTCTTGAAAAGGCGGAAAACCTCCGTAGGTACAATGTCTGCTTTGCACCTTCTAAGTGCAAAGTACTTTTATAAGACTGGCAGGACCCTGATCTTGTACTCACCCTGGATGATAAGTAGATAGAAGTAGTCGAGAAATTCGTGTATCTAGGTGGCTGCATAAGTACTAGTGGTGGCGTGAGTGATGAGATCAATGTACGTATAGTGAAAGCCAGAGCGGCTTATGCCAATCTGGGCCATCTTTGGCGCCTTCGTGATGTTAGTCTGGCTGTAAAACATCGGATCTACAACGCGTCGGTGAGAGCAGTTTTGCTCTATGCTTGTGAAACATGGCCTCTCCGAGTTGAGAATGGTAGATGACTCTCTGTGTTCGATCATCGTTGTCTCCGAAGGATTGCTGACATCTAGTGGCAACACCATGTTAGTAATGCAGAGGTTCGGCATCGTGTGTTTGGACGCAGAGACGATAATCCAACTGGTATCACCATCTTGAAACACCGACTTCGGTGGCTTGGACATAGTCTACGAATGTCGTCCCAGAGGATTCCACGTCGGGCATTATTTGCCGACACTGGGACTGGTTGGAAGAAGCGGAGAGGTGGTCAGTGTATGACATGGTGTCGGGGTATGAAAGAAAGCTGCAAGGGGCTGGCTTGTGTTGGTCCTTCACGACTCCCTGGTTGGGGTCCGAGAGATGGTGCTACACAGTGGCTAGAGACATTATCAGATATGGCTCAGAATAGAAGCCAGTGGCGATCCTGCTGTAACCTTCTTTTACTTTCTTCATGAAAAGTGGTTGTGTATTCCTTAACTGAAAGATTTCTTCTGATTGTACCTTTCCGTCTCCCCCATTATTATTATTATTATTATTATTATTATTATTATTATTATTATTATTATTATTATTATTATTATTATTATTAGTTATTATTATTATTACTCCACCCTACAATAATCTGGTCGTTATCGTTCTTTTTTTTTCTTTTACGCTCCTTACCTTCCTTTCTTCTCCTCTTCCCATTCTCACTGTTTTGTGTGGTGCATATGTATTTGGTGACCCCTTGTACCAATATTTATGTGTTCAAATAAAAAAAATGAAGATATTGGATGAAAGATAGTTGAGTTAACATTTCTCTTTCAGTCAGTCAGTCAGTAACAACGTAGAACTTGGTACGTACGTACATCAGTTCGAGTTGCCATACCACATTAGCACAGAGATGCAGTTGTCGGTTCAAACCCCTTAATGGTAGTGGTAGTAATAGTATAAGCAGTAATCGGAAACATTATGGTTTGAAGATGTTATTCAAGGAGTATAATCCAGTGAAAAAAATTTGGAAAGCGAAAAAAAGGACACGAAGGACTTAGAAGATTAGAATTTTGGAAGACACAAAGAGTGGATGCACCTGCGCCATTGCAAACGATTTTGAACCATGTCATGCAAGGTCTCTAACCATTGGGATCACCGGCTAAATAATAGTGAGGTTGGACATAGGGTATTAGGGAATGATGGTAAATCAGTTGATGAGGTTGTGGATCTTCACCGACTGAGATGGTTGGGCCACGTGTTACGTATGCCTGAATACTGACTACCACAACGCGCAATGCTGCTGACTAGTGTTGGTGATGGTTGAAAGAAAGTTAGGGCGGCCAAACTAAAACGTGGCATCAGTCTTTGAAGTCACTAACTTCTAGTCCTAGCAATGTTGATAGATGCAGACTACTTGGTTGGGGTCCGTGCGACTATCGTAACCAATGGTTGTAGACTGTGGGTGACATGGCTCAGAATCGATCATAGTGGAGTAGGTGTATACACTCTCTGTCTTCCCTTAAACCGTGAGATAAAAATTGCTTTATATTTTTCTTTCTACGAACTAATTCTTTCTTCCTGTACTATATCCTCATATGCAATCTTTCTTTTATGTATTATTACCATTGAAGTAACTACTTCGATGAATTTGATGTTCATCTTGTTGTGTTAATGAGTTGTGGCAACCTAAACCGATGCATATATGTACCTGTTATTAAGTTGCAGGTGACTGACTGTTGATAATTGTTAGTAAGCTAAAACAACTTTTAACATTTATCTTTGTAACAACGCGTTGTCTGTACTTTTGAAAAAAAATTTTCTCAGGTTCAGGACGGTTCACCTGGTCATCAAGCTGGTTTGGAAGCTTTTTTCGATTTCATCGTTGCAGTTGGCGACAAACGTCTGGTAAGTAACTTAGTTAAGATTTGTCTCTATGTTATTTTGATTCAAATTTTTCAGTATATTAATCCAAAAGCTCACACTACTGTTTGTCTGTATGCCTAATTGAGCTGTAACTTGTTGTGGTCATGAAATGGTATATGATATTAAGTAAAGAGTTACAAAAACTAAATTACTGATATTGAAGCTGTATAATATTTTATCAACATTATATACTAACAGAGACAGTGCTTAACTATTTTTTCATTTTGTACTGAACGACTGAAATCCATGTCTAGGATTTTCTGCAGATGAATCCAGTCTATGTTGTTCTCACTGTTAATTTGTTTGGATATCAAATTTCGACTCGTTGCATTCATTGTAGTTAGCCAGTTCTTATTGTTAGCCGTCAGAAAATGCGCAAATTTGAAGTTTGTTATTGAGTGTGTGGATTGTTTCATTCATAATAACTTATTCATTTAAAATGGATATAAAAGACAAACTCGGACGATGTAAAACATGGCACAAATGAATATTGTTCCAGGTTGCTTCACCTTATTTCACAACAATAAAAACCCATAGAAAGAGAAATCAAGCCAACAAGAATAATGTTATTAACTGCAGTATGATAAAAGCAGCAAAGTAAATTAGTGCTTATGATGAATAAATGATATGGTCAACATTTGGATTAAAATAGATGGTAGACATATTCATGCTACTTTATTTGACTTTACGATGTGTTATGTGTAGGTTGCATTCATCAACCCTTTGTTATGAATCGCTAACATTTTTCATTAACTCTAGGTTAGTTTAGTTTGATGTGGTATTTTGGATTTGTAGGGGAAAAAGTATATTGAGATTTTGAGGATTTCATCAAAGATGTTCGAGAGTTTCTGTTTTGTGTTAACCTAAGAAGAATGTATCTTTCAAGTATAAATCAATCATATCTCAAATATTTCACCAAAAAGTAATGACAATCAAACGGATATCCACATGGAAGATTAATCAATCATTAATAAATGCTGCTGTATGAAGGGAACACATAAGATCTGGCAACTTCCGAAACAATCTTATGAAATATATATATATATATATATATATATATATATATATATATATATATATATATATATATATATATATATATATATATAGTCTTATCATGTTGTTACTCAATAACTGGACTACTATTTTTCTATATTCCCCTTATTATAGGCTAATGTTGGACCCATAAACTTTTACTATACATTTTATCATTGCTTAATTCTAGCTAATTAATTATTTGCCACTTACCCTTTTCACTTCAGTTTTGGTTTGTATATGTATAAACAATGTGCCTGTGTATAAATTCATAGGTATCTGAAATAATAAGAGCTCCCCTACTGTGTTCTTTTATTGGGACTCAAGACTGGGGATAGGAGTGGGTGTATCGGCAGACCAGTAAGAGTTAAGATTATCTCGGTCTCAACTCATGTTTAGTTTTATTAGTCTAAACGTATTGTTGGTCGGACCTTAGAACGCTAGGCTATAGACGAAGCACTACACAGGGGACATGGAAGTTATCACCGGAATTCTCGTTGGCGACTCTCCTCTATCTGTCGATCGGCGTCGCATTTATTACAAATCGATCTAGGTCATTGTAACCGATTCTGAACTTAAATTTTTAACTACTGGTCGTGGTTATTACACAGACCTCATTCCTGTTGAATGAAGAAGTATAATTTTTCAATATATAAATATTTAATTCCATTTCACCATATATTTTTACTATCTACCCATTTTCCTTTAATTAGGAGGAAGATAATGACTGCATTAGAGATTTATTGCAGGCCAATAAAGATAAACCTGTTCGCCTACTTGTTTATTCGTCTAAATCTCAATCTTGTCGTGAAGTAACTCTAATACCCAATAATCATTGGGGTGGTCAGGGTTTGATGGGTGTCAGTATTCGATATTGTTCATTTGACAGAGCTAATGAAAATGTATGGCACGTATTAGGTGTAGAGTCTAAATCACCAGCGGATTTGGCTGGATTAAAACCATACACAGATTACATAATTGGTGCAAACTCCGTATTGAATAATGTAAGCTTGTTTTCGATGTATTTTGCCGCATATTTATTAGTTGCGCTTTATTCATGTTGTTGATTAAATAACTTAATAAGTATATGTTTAAATTTTCGACTTTGAGCCACACTGGGTGTAGGGACTAATGCCATTATCAGGTTGTATAAGACTATGGGGTTCAAACCTGTAATCTGTTGGTTAGAAGCCAAGTACATTAACCACCGAGTCACTGCCCCATTTTCGATTTTTTTTTATTGTATTAAATACCGATAATTGCATTTCGTTGTGGAAAAGGAATTTCGTATATATATATATATATATATATATATATATATATATATATATATATATATATATATATATATATATATAGCGGAGTTTTCGGTTTGTAACGAATGCTTCTTGTTGTTCAAACAATGAACTGAGTACCTATTGATAGATTATCAACGGTGATACAATATAATCCATTAATAACTGCTGACAAGATCGAATTGTTTACAAAGGCTTCTAAATAAACTGATATCACAAGTCTATAGAGCACGTTCTTATTACTTAATAAAATAACGAAAGTCTATGAAAAATATTAAACACAAAAATAAGCATGACCAAACGTTAAACATAAGTTCATTAGGTCACTCGACCACAAATCAAATTTAACATCACCATATCGATATTCATTCACTCCTATCATATCATTACTTTTCCGAATTTGTAGCCCAGTGTAATGATGTGATATAGCGAGAAGGGTCTTACCTAATTGAAATTCGAGTAACCTACAAAATTAATTTTCTTCCTTTATCTCGTCTGTTGATATCAGTACAGTTTCTGGCTTACGCCAATCAATCGGTCTCATGAGCAGTTATCATGTGATCACATTGTATATCAGCTGTCGATTACCATTGGATTTATTCATTCAACAATCCACGAACCTACTCAAAATCCTCCCCATAACGATTTGATACGTGGCTGAAATTATAAATCACACATTTGGTTTTCCTAATACATGCGGTGACGACCAGGTGGTCAAAGTGCTTGAGTTTAAATCACCTTGTCCCACTTCGGTTTAGAGAGCCGATTATGAGATAGTGGAGAAGATTTGTAGCTCAGGTGGATGATTTTGGTGGAGTTTTGTTATCTGAGCTGGATGGTTTGATCGTGGAGCTTTCATCGTTCTTCTGAACGACATCATCAGCACAAACTTCAGATAGAAGTGAAGTGTTTCACTTATATCAATACACGTGGACAACTGCGGACACTCATTCGATTGGAAAAATGTGGAAATCTTAGACAGAGGAAACTGCAAAAACACCAGAGAATTTTTAGAAGCCTGGCACTCAGGTCAATCAGCAATCAACAAGCATATTGAAATCAATCCAATTTATCAACCAATCAGAAAAATCATGCACAAACATAAGAACAAAAATCAAAACAATGGGAGACACAACCCAAACAAAGAAGTAAACAACGACAAATTTAAGGTCAATAAGAACCAATCAACGTCGAGGTGCACAGAACAAGCTTTGAGACACATATGGAGAAATTCAAACACTTCACTTCTATCTGAAGTTTGTGCTGATGATGTCGTTCAGAAGAACGATGAAAGCTCCACGATCAAACCATCCAGCTCAGAGAACAAAACTCCACCAAAAGAACCGATTATCGTTAGGTTTACGCAAAGTCTGAGTGTAAGCCAAGCCCATAAACTTGCTCTTGGTGACTAGTTTGCACCAACCGACTTCAGTCTCATTTGTAATATTGTAATGTATATAGAGGTAGTGTTCGTAACACAGTGCCTAACCATTTACATTGTAACTGAAGATCTAAGAAGGATTTAGGGTGAGTGTGCCTGCACCGCTGAAACTAATTTTATATGTCCAATATCAAGCGTAATAACTAGCCAGCAGTCATGGGCGTATCAGTATCACATTCTGTAGCTATGAGTGTATCTCAAATTAGCCCATATCATTCCGGCTTTTTATCATCCTGAACCACGTTGCAGTGTCTCACATTAATCTTGTCGCAAACATATCAACAAACGTTTACTTAACATTCAGCTTGCATATAGACTTTATCTATGGGAGATTACATGCAAATAAACACATAACACTTAAATCCAGAAAGTTTTTTTATATAATCGTTTAGTATTTTTCTTAACAAACAAGCCTTTTTTTCATGAGCTCATTGTCTTTAAATGTTTTATATACATTAACATATCTGTGAAGAGAGATGATTTTTTCGAACTAATCGATTCTTCCGACGGGCACGTGATTCAATTGTATGTTTATAATTCTGAATTGGATTCATGTCGTGAAGTACATCTCAAACCTGATTCCAACTGGGGTGGGAATGGCTTACTCGGTTGTGATATTGGTTATGGTTATTTACATCGTATTCCAACAGCAGCATCAACACTGCCTGAATCTTCACAGTTACCGAATAATGTGCCGCACTATCCACAGGAATCTCTGAAATCGTCAACTGTTAGTGAATTAAAATTACCACCTGCATCATCAAATGAAATTACTAACGGCGTTGCTGCTCCTTGTTATCCTCCACCTTCGTATACGTTTAACAATACACCATCAAATAAATTTGCTGAGGTGAGCGAGCATATATTAATAGCATATACACTTAATATAGTATTCCATTCTTTCTAGTGCGTTTGTGTATTATGCTGACAAACATGCAATTTTGGAGATTAATGATCTTAATTAGTTTCTCAGACTAAAACAGCTATAGTTCATGTGACCTAATCCAATGTATAACAATCTATGTACCGAGAATACTAAGTCCTCTGTTCAACAATAACTAATACTATTAATGCCAAAATCAGTTATGTCGTTTTTGTTAACCACATAAGAATAATTTGTGGGCACTAGTAATGAATGAAACAGCCAATTAAAGGAAATTAACTTTTAGATCATTAATTATCGAATCAATTAGGTCTGTTAGGTCTAATTTTGAGGTATCATATCTAAAGTATATCAGTATCCGTATGATTTATGTCTTGGTACAGTAATAAATGGGCCACTTTACTTTTTTTGTAAAATATATTTTTGTATGTATCTGTAACGTATAGAAGTTACTACACTTACTAACGTTCAGTCAGTTTTTGTTAAAATAATTGTTTAAACTGTAGCGTTGGTCATTTTGAGAAAATTAAAGAAGTCCTAACAAAGTATCAACAAAGTAATATATCAAGAATTTTGCACTGATATTAATGTGTTTTACATATTTTTCAAAACCTATATCATTAGAATAGGTTTCAAAGAATTTCAGTCTTCAGTTTTTATCCCCATTTTCACTCGATTCGGGTTGTTACACCAATAAATTCCCAATTAAATATTGACTATCCTTTAAAATAAGCAAGCATAAGCTCCATTAAATTCTTTTTTTTTGTAGGTTCCTCTAGTTTCTTCATCAATGCAACCCACAATACCGCCTTCATCGACACCACTTCCAACTACTTATCCTACTCAAGTTCTTGTAGATCATTTTAACTATGCCTACGCCCCCGTCCCATCTTCAGCATTTACACAAAATTCAAATATCCCGCCTCCTGCACCTCTTCCTCCTGGATTGACAAATATATTTAGTATGCCATCAATAAGTCCTCCATCTGTTGTTGGCAGTGTTCCTGTCGTATCTTCAGATGCACCTTTGATTTCTTTCGAATCTACAAAAAATGTTGGAAATGCTCCTCAATATTCACAGTTTAATATACCACAAATGTCAAGTGCTCAATATTTTCAACCTGTCACTGATAGTCTACCTACTTCTACGATGATTGCACTGCCTGGAATGCCACCATTAGACGTTAAAATGCCTCCTCTAGAAAGTATGTTATATATGTGTTATAAACAGTTTATATGGTTTAATCTAAAACTGTATGTACTATTAATGTTTTTCACTTTTAAGCAATTAGTATTTCCACTAACCGATATTAAACACTGATTTCTCTTCACATCATATAGCACTAATCATTATCTAGCGTTGTTTATTTCAATTGTTTGATATGTACTGTTCTTTCGATTTCTATATCTATCAATAGCGTACCCAGATAATAAGTAAAAAATAGATCTAAACAAATATAGGATAATACAAATATTAGACCTATCAAATAGCTAAGTAATGATGTAGCGGTAAACACAACTGACTTAATTTGAATACTTTTAAATTAGTGAATATTGTGTTACTTTTCCTACTATTTTTCAGTAGTTTATGTTTCTTCTTGTTTTTCAAACTCATCATTAAGATTTTTGACGGATTTTCGGTTTTTAACATTAACATTTAGGGACCAGATAAGCTAAGGATATGATGAATGTTGTCTACTTTTTTCATTTCCACATTTTCCATTCAGTGAATGCTATCTTCACTCGGGTTTTCATTCAGAATCTACAACATTTTTCTAACAGTTGTTAATGCACAGAATATTTCTGAAGACAGTGAATTCATCCATATACTGACCGTTGAATTGGACATGTACATAGATGTGTCAGGTCTTACATTGTTGTCTGATAGTGGATTATAAAATTTATTTTCACACTTTATAAGTAATATTCTAGTCAGTAGATTTATACCCTAAGATTCAGTTTAGAATTCTGCTGTGATCATAAAATTCACCAGTTACACTAATCATCAGCAGTTCAATACATACTATTTTATATGTAAACCTTGAAAAAAGATAAAGTTGGTATGGTGTTTATTGAACTGGTTGATAATCAAGCTGAATATAGATATAATCAATAAATTTTTAAGGTTGGCTACTCTTATATCAATTATACTCATACTACTAGAAGTATTACTCTACATATTAAACTGAGCTTCTAAACTTCATTATATAACTAATAAGTTAAAAGTTTAATTTACAAATCTGTTGTTTTGTAATTCCTGACGAGTATACACAAATAGCAGTTATTAACATCTTTTCTAGTAAAGAATTGTTTTTCTTGTATTTAAAACTTATAAATAAAGGTTTAGTGTTGGTTCATATCCATGTGTAATCCTTCTCGTATAGGATACCTTCCGTATTCAGATGTTGGCAATGTGTGGTCTCGTTTATTGATGTTATATAAGGTTGTGTATAATTAGATGTATTGTGAAAATTTCTCCTATTCACTTGCAATCTACGTATCTATTGAATTAACTAGGTAACATGTAATGCGCATATATTAGTTCATAAATCCTGTTTACTTCAAATGAAAACAGCTAAGATGGAACACTTAAAGAATAAATCATCCAACTAACGCCTGTTACCCTACATGGAGGAGCGTATGCTGCCTACCAGCACTCTCCATCCAACCCTGTCCTAGCCAATCCTTTCTAGTTGTTTCCAGTTGCTATTCATCCTTTTCCTGTCTGCTTCCAATTGCCGACACAGTGCGCTGTTTGGCCTTCCTCTTTACCGTTTCCCTTCAGGATTTCAAGTTAGCGCTCGCCTCGTGATGCAATTTGCTGATTTCCTCAATGTATGTGCTATCCACTTCCAGTGTCTTTTCCCAACCTTTTCTTCAGCTGTAAGTTAGTTTGTTCTCTCCCACAGTAGGTTGTTGCTGATGGTATCTAGCTAACGGACATTCAGTATCTTATGTAGACAATTGTTTAGAATTACTTGTACATTTTTGATGATGGTTGTTGTAGTTCTCCAAGTTTCGGCTCCATATAGTTGGACTGTCTTGACGTTCGTATTGAAGATTGTGACTTTGGTATTGGTTGACAGTTGTTTTGGGTTCCATATGTTCTTCAACTGTAGGAATGATGTCCTTGTTTTGCCACTCCTCGCTTTTACGTCTGTATCGGATCCTCCTTGTTCATCGATGATGCCTCCCAGATACGTGAAAGATTAAACCTCTTCCAGAGTTTCTCCATCAAGTGTGATTGGGTTGGTGTTCTCTGTGTTGTATTTCATTTATGTATTTTCAGGTCTACTGTTGCAGAGGATGCTGCCACACTGTTTGTCGTGACCTGCATTTGTCGGTGTGTGATGGGATAGAACGGATGGTTTATTTGAGAAGTCCGAATTTTTTAGTTGCATCCAACCTGTCCATTGTATTCCGTGCTTCCTCTCAGATGTTGACGTCTTCATAATGCAGTCGACTATCAGAAGAGAGAGAAAGAGGAAGAGTAAACAGCCTTGACTGACTCCGGTCCTCACTTGGAATGCACCTGCTAACCGTCCTCCATGCACCACTTTGCAGTCTAGTTTGTTGTACGAATTCCGAATGATGTTGACGATTTTCTCAGGCACACCATAGAGTCGAAGATCTCCATAATGTTCTCCTATCCACACTGTCGAATGCTTTTCCGTAGTCAAGGAAGTCGATGTATAGTGACGTGTTCCATTCAATTGATTGTTCAACGATGGTCCATAGTCTCGCGACTTCGTATTTACACGACTTGTCCTTATGGAATCCAACCTGTTGATCTTGAAGCTGGAAGTCTACTGGTTACAATTTCCTGGTTTCTTACACCTTAAAGGATGCCTCTTGAGGAACCTTAATAGGAAATCGGGTATGGAGTGCTTTTGATAACTTTGGAGTGTGACCATAGTGTCCAAGGGTCTACTGTTTGATGTTGGTCTCAGTCTTTTTCTCAGTTTTGCTGTGTTAACTCTTCGTTCTAAAGACGATACAACCAGCCTTGGAAGTCCGTAGGGTAAGTTATTTTAAGACCGACTTTCTCTAACCCTCTCCTTCCGTTGTAAGAAGGTAGCATTGCTGTAGGTGAAGTTTTCTTCGAGGGAGCATCTTACTGCCACCACACTCCAGTACAGCCATTAGTATGACTTCGCCCTCAGTTCACAAGTTTTTTGCTTTTGGTCTTGCCACCTCTCCAACCGACGTGGTTTTCACGGTAGGATCTAAAGGAGCAACTGTTTCAGGTTATATGATTCAGTTGGATCACGGCGATGTAGAAGCCCGATAACAACATCAATTTAGCAGTCACAATCGAGTGATAAATAACTGTCATCCGATTGGAGAATTATAGATAAATTCTGCTTTCAGTTTTAACGGAGATTCACGCCATCTCTTCGCTTCCAATATTAATCTTATCGAGTTTTAAATATTTATTTTTAAGTCATCAATCCTCTCCTAGATAACAATCTTATTTGTTGTGGAAACTATGGGTAAACATTCAAGGTACATAAACTTCTTCACTTAGTCCATCTTGGCAATAAAAGAATATAGGATATTGAAAATGTTATTTTTGGTAAACAAAAACTTGGGTTATTTATCCGAATCTCTTTAGTATTTGTTTCATCAAAGAATATGATGTAATAAAGAACACTGAATGATCTATTTCCATCCACTTCATGAGCACTATCGATCAAATATAATACGACAAAGTTATATATATATTGTAAATTAATATAAAAATTATTTAGTACATGTTTCTCAATTTTCATTTGTTTCTTTTCTTAGGTCTCAATCTTTCTACAAATCAAGGTTCGTAATTAGTACATTTGTTTTGTTAAATTAGAAAAGAAATGGCTTTTATCAATTCGGTTTATCGAGAATCACATCTCTTAGTCAATTGTTTTTCCAATATATATATATATATACAATGTGATAAACAATCTGTGGTTTTAATTTAAAAATATATTCCCTCTTTTTTTATTGGAAATTTTTTGCATGTTTATTTGTTGTGAATTTACTCACATCGTTTTGTGATAACATAAACTATCAGAACTATTGTGAAGTGCCTCTTAAATAAATTAATCTACTCTAATTTTCTTTTCATACCGTAAATTTAACAAATATTCGTTTTCTCATTTACAATATCTCTTCAATTGTGTAGTAATGCTGTCATATGTAACATTATTATTTTCCTTCGTAGTTGTGTTTTATTTCTTTTCCAATATTATTGTCTCCTTATTTATTATTTGGTTCTTGTGATTTTACATTGACAAGAAAATATGCAATGATCCGTTTTTTCCTTAAAGTTTGTTGGCTTATTCAATTTATCTGTGGTTCCCTATTGTATAATCACTACTTCAGTTTTATGTACTATGTTCATTATTATTAGTGTTATATAATTTTCCGGTTATGAAAGTCCTCTTTTTCAACGTAGTATTTTACCTACCAATTAGTTGATTCAACCCATTTTTTGTGTGTACCGCTGTGATAAACTATGGTATGGGTAAAAAAAAATTGGCTGCTTATATCAATTTGTTCAGATATTACGAGGGATAATAATGTCAACAGGTGTAGACTGGGTAGCCTATACGTAGATGTGGAACAATCTGTAACCTTACGAGATTGAAAGGAAATTACGTAACTCATGGCATTAAGTGGGTTGTCTGAATTATTGGTGCCTTCCTAGTTGTTCCGTCTCACGATTAGTCCGCCGATTACTTGATATATACTAATGAACATTGTAAAATCCTCAAGTTTGGGTTGTAACTGAAACGGCCTTGTACATTGTATGAGACAAAATGTCCAATCACATCAAATAATCTAATAGATGAGGATTTTAAAAAATAGTGTGAATGGTTTATATACTTTATGACAACTACCGAATGGTAAATCGAATGCAGGAATTTGTTTTCTAGTTTGTTAAATTGCTTCCACTGCTAGTAAGTGATTCGGACGCTTAGGAACGTACGTACGATAGACTAAGCATCTCTACTTTTTGACTGGGTTTTCCGTCGTGAATTTGAAATGAAAAAAAAAACGAATAGTGATGGTTTACGGATTGATTGACGGGTCACCTAATATTGATTGTTAATGGCGACACGTATGAAAGATGCTGAGACATTATTGCGATGTTTTAGACAAGCAAGCCGAAGTTCTGGGCTGACCGACTATAGTATCATATTTTCTTACCCAACCTTGTAAGGCACATGAGAGTATAGCTAATATTAGGAGAATGCGAAATAGTATGAAAGATTTGAATCAGAAAGTACATATAGGGAATCCTTGATAGGTGGTTGAATTGTCAGCTTTACTTTTCGTGAAATTTATTCACTGATAGCGTATACCAAAAAAGTAGTTTCCTAGGAAACAATACAAATTTTGTTTTTTTTTTCATAAGAAGTGTGAACTCGCAGCTACAACGAAATGAAATTTGAGTACTTCTCATATTCAGTAGACCGAAACTTTTGAAGCGATAAACACTATTCACAGACATTCTCGACTAACCAGTTCAATACGAAGCAAGTATTTTGAGGTAACAATAAAGCGTGAAATTTGGAGGAAAATATCAATAGCAATCTGCTCCGTCGATGATATGGTGATGGCTGTAATGAACTGGTTCAATGATGTTAGTCAGCTCGAATCTGCAATTTTATTTACTATTAGTTCATAAATTAATATTCATAGAACTAGAAGTTGTCTTCACAATTGTTAAAGGATTATATAAACTGCAACGAATGACATAGTAATGCAAATAATGATAACTAGGTTAGCACTGGACTGAGTTAGTAACTAACCCTAACAGATGAGAAGACAAACATATCTGACGTTACTGGATTAATGAAAATCTAGGCCCAATAATGAAATTTTAGGAGGCCGTATTTGAGCTTTACTACGCGGTCGAATAATCAAAGAATACTGTTTCAAAGATCTTTTGTCTGCTCTAGTCGGAACTTCTTAAAATACAGCATTTCTTGACGATGGCTAAGCTGGTTTGTTTGATGGAAAAACAAAACTTGGTTCATTAGTTCAAATTATCACAATCATACTAGTGAATGAAGCAACATAACGAGAGCTTAGTCGTTACCTATATGAATTCGAGTCGATTGATCTAATCATACTTCAGTTTATATTTTTATGTAGTTTCCTAATGCACTAACCTCTCCTACATTACTAACGCTACATCTTTGTACCTTTCCGTCAGGTATTTTACTGTCTTGAGATAATTATTCACATGTAAAGTTCTTGTGTCACAGAAATTTAACAAATATAATATGTAAGTTCATATCCAGTTTTGCAAAAGTAGAAGAATTCGTATATAAAAGGTATGCATAAGTGACCTACTAAGATGCTTCGTTCAAATCTTCACGTAGACAGCGAGTAGAATCTTCCTATAGCACATGAAAACATCTTATTAAATTCGTGAACCGACTTTATCAATCAATGGTTTCAAAAATTAACTAATGAACATCAAACTAACGAACTTGTAGTTTTCCAAAACCACCGCGGATAAATCGTTATTATAATGCAACAATTTTTTACCCACTTCAGTTACGTACACTCAAAACATACTAGATGAATCAACAATAATTTAAGTTAATGATAAAAAGACCATGTGTAACAAGTATTAAGCAGTTTTTCTCCTTGGACACTGATTCACTCTTCCTAAGTCAACAAGATCACTTTTAATCTAATTTCCTTTCCACAAAGAAGTACCCTTCACAGTACGGACAAATACCCTTATACAACTAATAAATTATGACTAACTATATTTTGTGATGTATTATCTCGTAAATACCCTGCACACATACACATGTTTCCACATTTTAAGTCGTTTTCGTACTGTAATCCTTACATGAGAAACAATGATCTCTGAAGTAGCAAAAATTAGTTTCCAATAAAAATCACAAATACAACAGAAAAATGGTGCATATTTATTTATTTATATATATCTGTGAATATCGAAAAAATATAAACAAAATGTATAAAAAATAACAATATCGATATTAATCACAAACGAGTCACAGTAACTGCACATTTCAACCGTTTTTTTTATCAGTTAAGAGTAGTATGTACAAATAATCAAAATAAATAAGAAGAGAAACACCACACATGTTTGAGTGAAAACTATAATCACACACACACAAAGGTATAAAGTTTATCGTTGATTTGGGAGGTAAAACCAATTTGTTGTATAAAACAACAAGAAGAGATTGTTTAGTTTATTAAAAGGAATATTAAGTATAACGATTGGTTATTTAATAAAACTTCCCTTTAAAGTACAAAGAATGAAAACTCGTATAACAAAAGAAAAAAAAAGCTTTATATCACAAGTAATTATTTGTTCTCATATATGGAAGGTAATTCACTTCCAGCAATTGAAATTAAATCTTGACGTCGTTGTATAGTGAATTGTTTTTTAGAAGGACGAATTTTTTTAGGTTGGTTAGGTCGACGACGTCTATGACTACTATTAACAGTAGTATTATTCCAAACATCATCATTGGGATCCACTTCATTAGGATATATCGTTTCATATTTTAATTCTTGATCACATTCATGTTTTACTGAGATTTTAAGTGATTTATTCATTATATCTGATGGTTTATTGTATGGTTTACTTAGTTCCAAAGAATAGGAGGGCATAATGTCACCACGTTTCCATCTACTATTCACATACTAAAGATAGAAAGTGGGTGTAAGTGAGTGAAACATTATACACTATACAATAAATGTTTTGGTAAACTTATTCAATGCAGAAATGTGTCTCATCATTATTCAATTAGTAGATATCACACTTTAATAAGCCAATCTCAAAAATCTTTTGTGATAAAGTTCAAACAATCCAATCAATCAATACGTCTAATAACTCAACTTTAGTGTAATTAGTTTCAAATATTCCGGAGATACAGATTGTATATTAACCGTACACTTTAAGACACATTCCACATAATCTAAACCTTACGAAAACCAAACCAATAAAGAAAAGTTTAAATCTTCATCACATAGCATGATGTAAACATGCTCACCACATAATCAATAAAGAATATATTTTCAGTTTGATTTACAAAGAACATTTCAAGTAATACAGTTAACACTTGTCATTTATGTTCAGAAGGGGTAAACATACACGTTCAGTAGTCAATGATCAATGATACTGTATAAGCCTTATCTTTCATCAAACTTTTATTCTAAACTATGATTACAATTTGTTAGTTCCAATTCGAATTTTTCTATGATTAGCCTCCCAAAGTCATCTCATTGAAGACAATGAATGATCAGATAAGTGTTGTAATTTAAACAGGTGGGTTTTATTTTCGAGTTGAATATTTAAAAAAAAAATCACCATGGTTATTAATTGATTGTTAAAGGCAGATTTTATTAGATTTCTTTTTATAGTATCAAAGTCTAATAAGTGTAACCTCTTCTTCTGGAATGTGCACATTGAACAATGTACACGTTTTCAATATTAGAAAAAAAAACTTAATTTATTTGAATTCAATGTTGGACAACTATAAACACATAGCATATCAATTACATATTGAAATCACTTACTAAATTCTTTGATTTATTTGCATTTTGACTAAACTGAACATGTGGTTTTATTGAATTGTTCTCTTGAATTGAAATTTCGTCTATTTCATTATTATCAGTACTAGAGGTATTCCAAATAGGCCACCATGGACAATTTGCTTTGTTAATAATCAATAACAAAAAAAAATACCAATAAAGTGAGCAACTATTCACAAATGGTACTTAGAATGTGATTTAACGTTAAAAAACGGGTATCACATAAGATGTGATTTTTCTCCATTGCTAT